GTCAAGCATGATGCCATGGGCTATCTACACTACAGTCAAGCATGATGCCATGGGCTATCTACACTACAGTCAAGCATGATGCCATGGGCTATCTACACTACAGTCAAGCATGATGACAACTGAGCTGGAAGGCAGCCTGAAATGTAATTTTGTGATTCGCTTTTAAAATGTTAAACACGAGGGGGCTATCCCGTAAAATGCTCTTGTGAGAAAATTGAAGGTAAAGTTTTAGCCCTTTGTTCAGTTTCTTTAAAAGACAAGGAGAGAATTATCTTGTATCAACCAAATATACACACCAATGAAACCAAACCTACTTCTCCTATAGGTAGGGCAATGCCCACTTTTGGTGTAGGTCAAGATTTCTGGAAACTACCGAAATCTGGGTTAGCCCGCTTGTCCTTAAAAGAGACCATGTGTTAAAGGAAAAAACTGTGTTCACGTCTCCGTCGCTGCTGCTTTGCAGTATTGTGAATTTGTCACGACATGGTGAAATCAAGCGCTCGACAATTTTTTTTTTGCCCTATTGAGTTATTCGTATAATCTTCATCATCATCTGGTGCCTTGCCGACTGGCGTGGGCGATCATGGACCCCCATCTCCCTCTGTCTTGCGTAGCAGCAATGGTGTCTGTTGTTTTTGCTGCTTCCAAGCCATGTTGTCAACCTGTCCAGTATCTTTTCCCTCTGTGTGTCTCTGCCTCTCTTTCCCTCAAACTTGCCTGTTGTTACAATATTCTCCAATGCTTGTTTCCGCATTGTGTGTCAAATGATTCGTCATAAGCTGTCGTCTGCAATTTGCTTCAACCAAGACTTCTTCATTTGTTTTTCGAGCTGTCCTTGGGATACTCAGGATGCGTCTTATGAACCACAACCCTGTCGCCTCAGTTGTTATTTCCAGCTGTCTATTGATTGTCCGTGCTTTAGGATAGGCTCGATTTAACTTTTCAGTACTCTTTTTCTTATTTTCAGTGACAGATTGATGTTTGTGAGTTTCTGGTTTATTTTGTGGAAGGTTGCTTTTGCTTGGCAAATGCAGCTTTTAATTTCGTTCTGACATCTCCCATCTGATGATATAATTGTCCCCAAATATTTAAAATGTTGTACTTGCTTGATTGAGGTATCATTGATTTTGATAACGCAGGTTGGGATTGGATGTTTCCTGCTTATCGCCACTGTTTCAGTTGTCTTGATGTTTAGGTTAAGTCCATGTTGTCACTCTCTTGTACGATGACATTTAAACGATTCTATAGGTGCTCTTCTTTTTCTACTAGTATTACTATTAGGACTGTGTCGTCTGCATATCTTAGATTGTTTACATGACGTCCCCCTATCGAGATACCTGGCATTTCTTCTATGTGTCTAATGATATTTTCACGATACAGGGAGAACAAGCCTGGTGAAAGTACACATCCCTGTATGACTCCTCTTTAAATCATTATGTATTCGCTGTATCATTTTACCTCTTCTTTATTTGTCTTTCTTTTGATGGTGGTTGCCAAAATTTCAGTGACTTTTTAAATTGTGAAGTATAATAGGTTGTGCTCTTCGTCAGCGTTTTTTCGTTAAAAAAAAAATCCACACAGGATGACTGTTAAATGGACATAAAAGTTGTACCTCTCCCTCCCCTTCCCAACCCAACCCTACCACCGACCCCTGTCCCCTTGCATAAACGCCATAATCAAAAATAAAACATATGATATATTAAGAAAGAAAAAAAGAAGGAAAGAAAGAAAGAAAGAAAAGAAAGAAAAAAGTAAATATATGGATAGGTTTTCACAGGCGTGCGGGAAAAATGTCGGTTCCACCGATTTCATCAAAGTATGCAGAGCGCCTGATTTCACCAGGATGCAGCAAATATATTATACTTTCTAAACCACCACCACCACTACCACTCTATTTTCCCGTTTTCTCACATCAGTTCTAGGTTCTACTTGAAGATTGTATTGTTACTCAATGATTATTTGTTCTCCTATATTTGTCAATTATTTTGTCGTCTATGAAAACATTAATATTGATATTTACCTAACCTTAGGAATGGATACTCCACTCTCTGAGAGTGATTAGTTTCCTCTGTTGGTTTAGTGAGAGTTCTACAGCACGCGAAATAAGTAGGTTAGATAAAAGTACCTTAGGTGTAAGGTCATACTTGAGAGTAACATACTAAAAAGAAGAGGAGGGAAAAGGACGGCGAGCGGTTGGACAACCTGCTAGTAGGTCCTACTTCTTTACTTTCCCTCTCTGTTGTTTTTGTCTGCCTGTCTGTCTTCCTTTGCCCCAGCACTAAATGACCAATAATATTGAGTTTGATGCGTTCTCCTTACTCAAACATAAGAAAAACACACAAGATAAGGACGAAAGATGTGTGATAGAAAGGAAATAGCAGACCACGAGGGAACAGCCTCCATCCACTCACGTTTAGAATTGTTACTCGGTAACCTCGTATCATGAATGTTCGTGTGTATTCGTCATTTTTAGTCGCCACGTCGATCTTCGGTGTTTACATAGACCAAAGATCGTACATAACAAGGTAGTTCGCTCAGCCAAAAAAGTGTCCGCGGAAGTCGGCGCATTGGTCAGATGGGGATGCAGTCTTTGTTTTGAAGCTCTCTTTCGTTTCTCCAGAAGAAGAAGAGGAATAACACAGTTTGTAAGTTTCATTTTTATTGTTTTTCTTGTTTTTGTTTGTGTTTTTTTTTTACAAAAGTAGGGTGACTCTGATCGCAAAGTCCACACATTTTATAAGAGGGCGCCACCGGATTTTGCGGACATTTTTTTGATTGGCTCAAAGAGAGGAGTGAACTATTTTGTATCAAGTACGATCTTTGTCGGTATTTACTTAGACTAGGGAATCAATACCCCCACACTCTGTGCGTGATTATGTTTGTTTTCTTTGGTTGGTTTAGGAACCAGATGGAGACTTGAGACTCATGTCTTGTCACGGGAATCGCGGAGGAAGATCGAAGAGGGGAGAGATCGATGTGGGCATGATCGGGGTTAAGTGGGTGGTTCAAGGTCAACAGTGGAATGTGAAGGGAGAGAGAGAGAAAGAGAGAGAGAGTGAGAGAGAGAGAGAGAGAGAGAGGGGGAGGGGGAGAGATAAAGAAAGAGAGTGAAATAGCAAGAGAGTGTGTGACAGAGTGTGTGTGTGTGTGTGTGTGTGTGTGTGTGTGTGTGTGTGTGTGTGTGGGTGTGTGTGTGTGTGTGTGTTTGTGAGAGGGAAACAGGAAGAAA